CTTGGAAAAGACCTTGATATTGGGAAAGAGTGACGGCAAGAGGAGAAGGGGACGACCGAGGACGAGATGGCTGGACAGTGTCTGCGAAGCAACCAACATGAAATTGACAGACCTCCGGGAGCCAGTGGAAGATAGGAAGGCCTGGCGTGCTCTGGTCCATGGGGTCACAAAGAGTCGGACACGACTAAACAACAACAACAACAACAACATTGTTTGGATTCAAGATCAATGTTTAGATTACTGAGAACACTCTTAGTATATCAACATTACTTCTAGCTTGGGTAACGGTGCTAATCAACTGATGCTGAAAAATGTTGACTTCCGAAAGCCGCAAAACTGTTCCTATTCCTAAAAAGGTACTTGGAAAAGTTGTCCAAATCTTGCTATCCTGGAATCCATACACAAAGAAATAACTATGTAGAAAGCACTCTCGTGTATGAGTTTTAGCTGAGTGTGATCCACAAGATCCATCAGTGCCAAACAGTAACACAGTCAATGGTTCCTGTATTGCAAAAGTAAAACTGACCAAGTCCTATCAAAGATAATTGTCCTTAAACTGGAACTGGGAATTGCACTTAAATTGGACACATGTTTATTTTATTAGCTTTCTGTCCTACCTCTTGAGTCAAAAATCGTGCTCAAGGTAGCCAAATATTAAAACATATTTTAAAAAAAACTAGATTGTAAAACCATGATCAGTACAAAAATTAACATGGTAATAAAAGGCCAGTTTGCATGTTTACAGCCTTCCTAAAAGAGGAGCATACCCAACACAGGAGCGCCCCCTTCCTATGTGCCCATCAAGTGGGCCTGCAGAGGGGCTGATATTCTGAAGGCAACATATTGTATGTGCAGCTCTTCATGCCTAGGCAGGTTCATTATGAGATCGGTAGTCCTTTAGTTAGCTACCCTGTTTTCCCCAAAATAAGACCTAACCTGTAAATAAGCCCTAGTTTGATTTTTCAGGATGCTTATAATATAAGCCCTGCCCTCAAAATATGCCCCAGTTAAATGACACCCCACCCTCCACCGTTGTGCACCAACTAGAAGAAGATTATATGACTTATTTGAATACATGTAGATTGTTGTACATGAAAAAAGAAAAAAATTCCCTGAAAATAAGCCCTAATGTGTTTTTGGAGCAAAAATTAACATACGACCCTTTCTTATTTTCAGGGAAACACGGTAGGTACCAAGCTGTGGTCAGTTATGATGAAATATTGCTGGATTAGATCAAAGCAGGGCATGACTGTGTGAAGGAACACAAGAAACTACTTTTACCTTTTGTGTTCCAGTCTTGAGATCCCCAACTGCAGTGTCTCTCAGACTGGGCAAGATTTATGATAGTCTTTCTTGTCCAGCAACAGCTGTGCATTTGGCACTGAAATCTACTGCAGCCGCATTGTAAAATAAAACAATGTGTATTTCCTTAAACTATCAATTTAAACACACTGCAACATTTAATTGAAACATAAACAATCAGATAATATGTCTTACTTAATAATGACTAATTGTTACTCATTACTTCAGCCAGAAGTCTGAATGTATTTGCACTTGGAATTTCCCTTGTCTGTTTGGCTTCCTTGTCTCAGACCCTCTGTTCTTAACGTGACCATTCTAGCTATAAATTGTAGGGCAATGCTTTTGTCTACAATTTCTGGGAATTTCTAAAACTTAAACAGGGTAATTGCTGGCTGAATAACTCAGTGGTTTAGGTACAGGCTGTGGAGCCAGAAGTTGGGAGTTTGATTCCCCACTGTGCCTTCTGTGAGTACAGCCAGCCTGTGGGGCCTTGGGCAAGCTGCACAGTCCCAGTGTGCCTTCAGAAGAAGGTAAGGGTAAACAACTTCTGAGTATTCTCTGCTGAAGAGTTTTTAAGTTTTTGCTTAAATTCCTTTAACTATGTAGCAGGAGTGCAGGGATTCACAGAGCAAAATAGTATCAAGCTCCCCAGAGTAGTCCACCCCTTTTCTCATTAACTGGCACTTAAGGTCTCAGTAACTCACTCTGAGACATTTTGTAAGGAGAAAGAATAAAATATGGCTGCTTTTAGCAACATACTTCATCAGAGTAAAGAGAGAGAGAGAAAGGAACCACAGAGCAGAGAGATGGAGCTCTTTATGAATTCAGAGGTAGGGAAGGAACCAT